TAACGAAGATCAGGGGAAAACCCCAGGGAGGGCCCAGAGCTAGACGCTTCCGTCTAATAGACGGAAGATAGAATCTTCGCGGCTGGCCAGAGGCACTCCTCTGGGTCTCCAGTACCTGGCTGTCTTCGACTACCTCGACCATCAGCCTGAGGGAGGGCTTTTCTGCAGCAGCTGAAGTGACCTGCTGCCAGCATCTGCTGACCTCCCTCAGACACAGTTACGTGCACTTACACCTCAGCAGGACGAGGCCAGGTCCCATCCTACCCGGGCTCAGGCAGCCGCACCCACAGAGCACCATCCCACACCCGCCACAAGTCTCAAGGACTTTGAAAGCCAAGAAATCAGAGTAACGAACATATTGCTTAGGGACTGAATCCAGCGGCATATATGGGAACACCTGGGAAATGACCCCATAGTACTCTCCTAAAACAGGAGGCCCAGAGGAAGGCAGCTGCAACGTTTAATTTTGTTGTGTCGACATGACTGGAACATAGGGTGCCAGATGTGCATGCACACTCTCTCTCTCGCTCCCTCGCTCTCTGACTGCTGAACCAGGCTATTGATCTTCTTCCCTTCAGAGTAGGATTTAGACCATTGGCTTTCCTGGGTCTCGAGCATTTGGACTCCAACTGGAATTTCTACCATCAGTTCTCTGGGGTCTCTAGCTTAGAGACAGCAAGCATATCATGGGGCTTCTCAGCCTCTGTAATCACAGGACCCAATTCCTTATAATACACATATATTCATGTAATCATATGTAATCGCTACATTTCAACATATATTGATATATTTACATCATTCATATTATAGAGACACACGTACATACATACAGCTCCCATTGGTCTTTCTCCGGAGGACCCTACCAAAGCAGCTCGAGCTTTATACAGTGACTCCACGAGACCACCCAAGAACAGCCCTGCCACCTTTACCATGTGTCTCTCACCGTCAGGGCGGCAGGATGGCTGCAAAGCATCTGAAGTTCAGAATCACTTTCCAGAAAAGAACAAAGGGCAGAAGCCGTCCGTCAGCGAAGTCTATTTCTTGCTCTTAGAACAGCAGGAGCTTTCAGAAGTCCCACCCAACAGACTTCTCTCCACAGGTTATTGGCAGAACATGTCACATAACCAACCCTAACTTCAAAGCGTCCTAGGAGAGCAGGGAGTTTTAACTGCACGCTGCAGCTCTGAACTATTAAGCTTCTGTGAGCAGAGGAAGAGAATGAAAACAGGGCGAGCCACTAGCAGTGTCTACACCACACATATACACGGCATACAGACTCACACACCAAAGAGAAAACTGCCAAGTCTTCAATACAAGAATAATCTATTAAAACTAAAGTGTAGCGAAAATGCAAAAACTCTCAGGACTTCCGCTCTTTCAGATCCTACGTCCTTGAGCCACACCAGCACGAGGAGTTACCTTAAGACTGACGCATGATCTGATGTTTATGCGACCTGGCACAGGTAACAAGGATTATGTCGATATCTGAGCTAGTTAATAAGTTTCTCTCCCCTTTGCATAAAAAGGAACGTAGCACAGAGGCGAGCCACACGAGAACATCCAAACGGCCAGCAAGCACATGAAGGTGAGCACCCTTTGTCAGCAGGGAAATGCAAATTAAAGCCACAGCATAATACAATTTACACCCACAAGGGCTAAAATAAAAATGACAGAGGGTATGTCCTGTGGGCCAGGACGTGGAAATCTCGAATCCTGCCTGTGGGAGTGTCAACTATATGAGCCCTTTGGAAAGTTCCTGGACAGAATCGAATACAGCGGAGTCTGTGTATAGCCCAATGTCCCAGACATTTCGCTCCGTGGGGTGTGCCCTACGGAGATTCATATTCACCCAAGAACGTGTAGACAACGTTCATACAATCACTGGAACCAACTCAGAGGTCTATCGATGGTGAAACATAAATCGTGGGATGTAGTGATGAGAATGAGTGACCACAACTACACACACGTCATGAGGATCAGAAACCAGAAGAAACCAAACATAAAAGTCAGGCACATTATCAGAGTCCGCTTACAAGTGAGATTACAAACCAGCCAAAGCGAGCCTACTAGTGACTGCTAATGGGAACTGATTTCTTTTGGGGCTGAGGCAATGTTCTGAACTGAGATCGTGGTGATGGTGGCACAACTATGAACACCCTAACTCCATTACACAGTTTAAATGGATGAACTGTACGACATTTACTACATTTCATAGCAGTAAAGTTTGTTTTTTTGTTCTTTAGTGCTATTAGACATTGGGACCCTGGTTGTGACCAGAAGGGGGTATGAGATTTCTGGGGTGTCAATAACACTATCTTTCCCGACTTGGGTGCTAGTTACTTTGAAAAACCTGTATCTTCTGATTTGTCCATTTTGCTATTAACACTATTGCTTAAAGTTTTACATGAAGAGAACCATGATCCAAGCTCTCCCTGAGTCTTGGGAAGTAATCTCTAAAGGTCTGAGCAAACCCTGAATAGATATTTGACGCATGTTACTGGTCTCTACGTATCCCTCTCTGCCTCAACCCGACCTCTCACCTCTCATTTATTTTATGCCGCGTTTCATCTTGCTTTATACAAGGACAGCCGGCATAAGGCGGTCACCTATCCACACTGCCAACTACATGCTGCGGTTGTGGTTATGCTCCTCTTGGTGGACAGAATTACTGCTTCGGAAGTATTTAGCATTTGAAAGGTTGTATCATCTGCTAAACTCCACACTAAACTGAACACTCAAGTGTTCTCTCTGCACCTCTGTATCTAAAGAGCTTTTTTAAAAGTAGAGTCCTTTTGGGCAGCCCGGGTGGCTGAGGGGTTTAGCGCCGCCTTCAGCCCAGGGCCTGATCCTGGAGACCCAGGGTCAAGTCCCACGTCAGGCTCCCTGCATGGAGCCTGCTTCTCCCTCTGCCACTCTCACTCTCTCCCTCTCTCTGTCTCTCATTAATAAATAAAATCTTTAAATAAAAAATTAAAAAATAAAAGTAGAGTCCTTTTGCCCTGAAATCATCTTCCAGGCCATTTCCATCCTTACCTCTACTGATCATTGATAGTTTCAATCATGGATTCATGGTTTTCAAACTACTGGTCACAGCCCACTAATGCGTTGTACACCAGCCTGCAGTCACAGCCAGCATATGTTTTAAAGGGATACAAGAGAAGAGGCTGGGAATGCTTCTGCTGCAGTGGTTTATGGATGTATTACGTGTTTGTTACTGCTTACTTGGAGCTGTGGTCCCAAAGTTTCAAAAGCAACAGCTCTAACACTCCTGCTTCACCAGAGGGCAGAACCTGTAGCCCAGGCTCAGATGGTGACACCGAGTCTGCAACTGCTCCTAAGCCTTAAAGAGCAGTCTGATGGGAAAGGCAGTTTGGCTTCGGCAAGCTGTCAAACCGGGAATCCCAAGAGGCATGCAGAGCAGACTGCACAAAGGACTCTTGCTCGTCGTGGGAGGAAGCTCAGTGAACATTTCCGAGGAAACGCGAAACTCGACAAGCAGCTCGAAACTTCTTAGCTGCTCTCCACGGTGAAAGCAGGTGTCCGGCCTGAATGCTGTAAGGCAAGGCCGAGGACGATTTCAGAGCTGGTGCTTCAAGGTGGGGAGGAGACTTGACGGGATGGAGCCGCCTGGTTCAAGAGAGCAATGTCCACGGGCAACGCAAGGCCTAGTAGTTCCAGCAAGTCGCACCGAGGATCTCAGAGTTTACAACGGGGGAAGAGTAAGTAGGTAATCAAAGCTTTCAGAAGACACTGTTCTGGCAAGTATTTAAAAACAAAAAAAGCAACTCATTTTTTAAAATGATCATGGCTCCAAAATCTTGAATGGGGTCAGCTCACACCGTGGCCGCCGCCGCCAGCCACACTGCTTCCCCCCTAGTTATTCCACACCACCAGAACATATTTTTAAATTTCAAAAGATTTTCAGAATATACTGTTAACCATTAAAGGACTAGCGTGTGGTCATAATTCAGCCAATGGAGCTACGGGGTCTGTGATGAAAACCAGTTGCCATAACAGTGTTCCCACAATGACCCCTCGGGGGACTGGCGCTGGCTCTTCACACTCCGGACAGCTGGAAACTCTTACACAACTAGGCCGTGAGAAAGTGCTTGCAGCTCCGGACTCCCAATATGATCCCATACCATACATTTCTACTGGATAAAGTTGGGCTGCGAGGGGCTCCACGGGAGTGCACTGGGGGAGGCCCATCTCCCAGACCCTCAAAGGAAATCGCCATACTGCTACTTAATGCCCCCCTTTCACTGAAGCTGCCCCTCTAAGCTCTACCACCTTCTGTGTTAAAGCATTAAAAGGGGGAGATGGTGTGGCTGAAAAGGGGCCAGTGATAGGAATCCCCAAATTCAAACCTACCAAAGACTATGAAACTCTGTACCGTGGTCTTTTCTAAACTGTTCACTTTCAGAATAAATTGCTTTCTTTCCAATAAAAAAAGACAGTTGTAGTTCTCGAGTATTTACTGAGGTCAAAACCCAGGGCAATCTGAAGTGTAAGGGCAGGTCAGGAAATCACCAGATGGAAGAACGTATTACCCCCCAAGAAGCCCTGGTGCTATCAATCCTATTTCCTATTCCTCCCAGTTCTCACTGAGCTCAGAGCAAATCCCGAGTTCTGTGACTCGGGACAGCTGCCTTCCCAGCTCGCGCCTCTCCAGACCATCCCCACCCTCCTCAGGAGACCTAAACCATCCTCATTCTCTCTCCCTCAATTATCTTTGGCCTCAACTTTATTTTCCTAATTTCCCCCAAAGATTGAAAGAACAGCCACGGCTTCCAGGTTGTTACAGACTCTGTGCTGTAATGCTAAAATATGCTGCTTGGTCTCTGCAGTTGGCAAGAGCACTCCCAGGAAATGCAGCATCACCTCTGAGAGAAAACCAGCACTGCATTATATTTGAATCCAGAAAGACAGAACTCCCTTGGACAGGAGTCTCGGCTGGCAGTAAAGCAGAAAGGGAAGAATGTTTACTTTAGGGCTCTGAGTGATTTTTAAAGGATGCTTTTATTATTTTAAAAATAGCTAAAACCATTAATAGAACTAAAACTAAAAAACACAAGCATGCAGTATCTGCTGAACTAAAATTTTCATGATTTGGAGAACACGAGAGGTCACTCTTCAATTTAGCCACATGCATATTCATAGTTACCAGAAGACCTTTAATTTCAGGGAAACGGAAAACTTTTCTAAGAACCTGCTCCCATTTACCCAAGCCCCAAATGGTTGACATTGACAGACTGTGGAATGTTACCGTCCCACCCCACCCACCCCGCCAAACGTTCTATCCATACAGATCCATTCTGGAAGGCACAGGTGTCACATGATCGTTTCTTCTTTATGTGGAGCGTTATTTAACAGCAAATGGAAGATGACACGAAATCAATGGACTGCCAGGCTGCGGTCTGTGAACAAAGCAATTTGGGGAGTATTCATTCAACGCTATGTATCAACCAGTCCAACACAAGACTACATAACTCGAGTCTAGACTATCATCCTGTCTTATGAAAGTCTATCTCTCATTTGCTCTGGAGTAAGTTCTCCTAAGCCCTAATTTAATCATAAAAAATGGTTTCCAGGGGCGCCTGGGTGGCTCAATGGTTGAGCGACTGCCTTCGGCCCAGGGTGTGATCCCGGAGTCCCAGGATCGCGTCCCACATCGGGCTCCCTGCATGGAGCCTGCTTCTCACTCTGCCTGTGTCTCTGCCTCTCTCTGTGTGTCTTGTGAATAAATTAAAAAGGATAAAGAAAAAAAGAAATGGTTTCCAAAGTGTGAAGGCGGGTAGGGAGTGAGCCTGATTCAGTTCAGGAGGGTGGGCTTCGGCCACCCTGTGCAAACACCCAGCAGAAATGATCCGATCGGCACAGCCATACACAAGTGACCAACTGCAAGAGGCTTTCAAGCCCTCCCCAAAGGGGCCACAGTAGGGGATGGTGAATCTGTGTGAAGCTACCCCCACCTACGACCCAGCTGACTCTAGCTCCTACTACGTCCTCTCACCTTTTCAACTCTAAACTGGCTGCAAGTGGGGCAGTCGGCACAAAACAGTCCCTGCTTAGTAACGGCTGTTGCTGCCAGCACCCTGTTGTTGGTGTTACCCTGACATGAACACACACTGCCCCTCAGCACGGGGTTCAGGAACACTACTGTGACAACACTCTAGCAACAAGGACACAAGGATCAATATTCACTGAGCTCTTAACTGCCAGGCGGTGTGGTAAGCATTTTATTTGACTTGAACACCACAACAGCACGCTGAGGTATACACTCCAGTTCCTCAAGACCACTTGGAGATGGGGCAAATGAGGCTGAGATGGGGTAGGTGACACCCAGGGTCATGCACTCATGGGGGGAGAGTGGAAATCTCCAGCTCGGCAGTGCCGACTCAGGAGTCCCCCCTTACTGCTGTCCGACACCCCACTTCACCTGGGCAGGTCCACTCCATTCACCCACCTTCCTCTATTAACTGAGTCCTCTCAGCTTGCAGAGTGCAGCAATTCATCACCAGTATCTGGGGAGGACACTGTGTGCAATTCAGAAGTCCTTGTCTGTGCCAACTCAGACCCATGACCTACTGTCTTGGGCAGTGACCAGAGTCCTGGCACCTTGCTCCTCTGCCCAGCGGCGTTGAGTCTGGAGGAGCAGTCAGCACAGGCCAGGCAACGGGGAGACTCGCAGGCAGTCCTGGTCAGGGAAGAACCAGTGGCATCACAACGTCCCTGTCCTTGGCTAGCTTGACAATCCACTATCTCACCTTGAACCTCGATGCATTGGGGTTCCTTAACTTAAACTTCTATTGACATAACATACCATCTTTTTTGAACTTCAATTTCCTGTTAATTCTTTCTGTCCCAAGAGGTGACAGATACTAAAATTTACACTCCTTAGAAGGTAAAAGCAAGCCTTGAAATGCAAGAAAAACAACACTTGAGTTAACAGTAATAACATTTACATTCCAATTCTATTGCAAGATGGCAAAAGTTCAGCAACGTTTAAGGACTATAAAGTTTCATTAAATGGTTCCATATTTTTGTTGAAATATATAAAAATACTTTTTATAAATGCTACATAAAAGACAATGTGAAAATTATCATATTTTACAGAAAAAATTAAGTCCATCCTTAAATGTTCCTTTTTAATCATCTAACTGCCAACTCTCAGGTCTAGAGGGAAGAGGTCACGTTAGACCCCCTTCTGTGACAGTTGTCTACACATTTAAATTCGAGGAGAAGTCTTTAGAACTTAATTTCTTGCCTATTTATAGTAAATGACACAAAAATCAGTTTGCAGCCAGAGGTGACAGGAGAGCCAACACCATTTCTTATAACTGAGAGAGTAGCATGGGGAGAACGGAACCACAGGAGGCTGCACTGTTCTTCCCTCGCTCTTGCTGGTGATTCCTGAAGTCGGTACCACGTCCACTGCAGTTTCTTGTTACTTAGACACCACACACAGATATCACAGTGCATTGTACTCCACACATTTTGATGGATCTGTAGGAAAGTGCTTCTGGCAAATGGTCATTAACCTCTTCAATCCCTAAGAAAACAAGAAAAGCAAAGACTGGTTATGATATGGCTGCACTGTCCTGAAGTGCCCATCTGTATGCTGGTTTGCCCATGTCCCCCCTGAAATGCAGCAGCCCCAGTGACACCACTCACATAGACGCACATGGAGAGAAGGGTCTGTTCACGTGCACCCAGGATACACTGAGCACAGAGCAAAACCGTCCCCAACAATAACAAAAGTTCTGGCAACAACCCAAATGTTCTGAGGGAATATATGAATAAGCTTTAGTATGCTCACAAATGGAAAGTTTTACAGCAATAAAAATGAATTAACTAGAACTCCAGCAGGTTCCAGTAGAGAGTTGAGCCCAAACGGCCCAGCTAACACACCCACGCTAGGTACCCAGACAGTAGCTATGTATCTAGCAAGTGCTATGTATGTACCATCCTCTCAAGAATTAACCACGCAAATCATCCACCCTGATCTATGGGGGAATTCTGTTGATGAGGGATTCTGGACGAGAATAAATGATGTGCATAAATCTCAGAAACAACGTTGAATGTAAAAAAATAAAGTGGCAAGGGCTACGTAAGTATGTCATTTTAATAAAACTGAAAAACAATTTAAAACAAAATATATGGCTTATAAATAACCTAGCATGGTAAAATTACTTTTGAAAAAGCAAAGCAATGACAAATTCAGAATTTCTGGGGTAGAGGAGGAAAACTGTCAATGATCTTCAGCATGTCCTAGTTCTTAAGCTGGGAGTAAGGCCTTTAGATAGATTTTTTTTTATCTCATAACTTACATATTACATGTATTCTTTTGTATTACAAAATAATACATGATAAAAAACATTCTAATATAATCATAAGGACATAATCCAGCATCGCAAACCTCACCCGGCTAATCCTTCAGAGCTCAGTGGACAGACTCCTATGCTGTCTCTGTCCTGTACCTCTGGCATCCGTTACCACACTCTGGTTCTTTTCAGGCAACTACATCACACATGTATTTGGGTCTCACAAATTTCAAGTGCTTTTTATCTCTTCTGCAGTTTGGCCGGTTCTTGACCCATCTATAACTTTGTAGTGACTTTTTAAACTGCTGACAAGAACTGTCACTATTAGAATTCACTCGGTCTCTTTCAGCTCATCCTTCGGAGTCTGTGAGCTTCCAACATCCTTAGTTGGCATTTAGTTTTTAGTTATCTCTCTGCGCTTTCTCATCCACCACTGAGCAAACATACCCCTAAGTCATTATCCAAATTCACCAACAGGAGAGGGACATAACTAGAAACCTGCAACACGTCACTACAGATCTCTCCAGAACAATTCCAGGAAGAGCTGTGCCTATTAACTCTTTTTTTTTCTACCAGTAAACAAAACAAGATGATGCTCTACCCAATGCTTTACTGCAATCTATATATAAATCACCATCACCAAGAATAGCGGCACTTAATTTTAATGACCCACAAGGCAGTATTTGGCACAAACTATTTTAAGGTTTCTCACCTTGGGTACGGAAAAACTGAAGTCACCCAGCTAATTATCACAGTAACAAGAAGAATGAAATCCTATCACAAGCCAAAGGCTGACTATGGTCAGAGTATCGGATACTGAATATGAAAATGTACACAGCACACTGCCTGCTTAATTAAGATTCTCCCAGGATTCATTATCTTTCCTCAAAATGATACAATGAAATATCATCTGCTCTTAAAACAAGAACGACGACAACAAAAAGTCCCTGCAAAATCTCTTCGGTGCCACAGTAGTAACTAGACAACACAAATAAAAATCCCTTCAAATATATACTGAACTAGAATCTAACATATTCAACATCTTGAGAATCATGATTTTCAAACATTTTACTTCAAGTTTTTCAAAGATTCAAAGAGCATCCACATCATGCTACTTAAGAACTAGGTATGTGGAGGAAGGTTACGTTTCAACTGACTTCCCAGATGACCTCTGCACGCAGTGCCAAGAAAGATCATTTGCCTGCCTTGCTCTTCATTCATGTGGCGTCCCCTGTGCTGATCAGGTCCTTGGTTCAGAATGAAGACCCTTCCCTCTCACAGTCCAGCTTCTCCCGGTGTGAATTCTAATCATCTATACACAGGACTGTAATCTGTAGCCCTGGAAATATACGTGATAGCATGAATGTGGCACCTTAAATTTTCCAAATCAACAGGTGAGAAGGGAGAGGGCTGAGAGAGAGCACCCCAAGGAAACGCGGGCAGCCTTAGCCACCGACACAGGGCAAGAATGATCCCGAGCACATACAAGGCAAGCCAGTGTCCAGACTGCTGGACGTAGTTTTTCCTGTAAGAAATGGAATCCTGGCTATCGGCTCCTTATAGGAGATATCTGTGATGCTTACTTAACCTCACTAAGCAGATTCTAGGATTTAAAAATAAATACCAGTATCCTGTCTGAAATCTTAGCTGCCAAAAGGTTGTGAAATTCAAGTCCTGAGTCATAAATAGTTACCATAAAACATTATATGATACATTTTTGCAGAAAGGATTGATAGTACACAGCACCAATTTTTCAAGGGGTGAAATGTCAGGACAGCATATGGTTATTTTCCAAATGGATACCAATCGTTTCAATTAGATCCCTCGGGATTTCAGTTTTAAACTGCTTGAGGATGCTTAAACCAGTAAAACAATGAACTTGCTTAGCTTAGCTTATTGCAAATAGCTTCTTAAAAACTGGTGCTACCTTTCAACATAATTTTTATTTCCATGAAAGCAATACATTTATTTAAGAAGTCTTTATTCAGAGGCTACAGTGTGCCAAGTACTGTTCTAGGCTAAAAATACAGGAAATACAAAGAAAAAATTCTCACACTCATTGAGATTATATTCTGAGGGAACACAGACAAGAAAAATGAGTATCTTTAATACCTAATGTTAGATGATAAATGCTATGGAGAAAAATACAGCAGGGAAGGGGTGTGTGGATATGGGGAGTGGCCAGAAGGGCATTTTGGCTTTTACTCCAAGTAAAAGGAAACCATTGCAGACCTCTAAGCAAGAGAGCATCATAATCTGATTCATATTTTTTTTAAAGATGATTTAGATCTTTTTTAAAATTTATTTATTTATGATAGTCACAGAATGAAAGAGAGAGAGGCAGAGACATAGGCAGAGGGAGAAGCAGGCTCCATGCACCGGGAGCCCGATATGGGATTCGATCCCGGGTCTCCAGGATCGCGCCCTGAGCCAAAGGTAGGCGCCAAACCGCTGCACCCAGGGATCCCTCTGATTCATATTTTAACTGCATTGCTCTGATGCTGTGAAGATACTGAAGAGGGGCAAGGATATGGGGCACCTGGCTGGCCCAATCAGAAGAGCATTCAACTCTTCATCCTGGGTTGTAAGTTCAAGCCCCATGTTGGGTGTAGAGATTTTTTTTTTAAGATTTTATTTTTATTACTTTTTTAAAGATTTATGTATTTATGTATGTATGTATGTATGTATTTATTTATTTATTTTTATGAGAGAGAGAGAGAGGCAGAGACACAGGCAGAGGGAGAAGCAGGCTCCATACAGGGAGCCGGATGTGGGACTCGATCCCGGGTCTCCAGGATCACGCTCTGGGCTGAAGGTGGCGCTAAACCACTGAGCCACCCGGGCTGCCCAAAATTTTATTTTTAAGTAAAGAGCAAGAATAAGAGCTCAGAGTCCAGGCAGGAGACCTGCAGTAATCCAGGTAAGAGAGGCTGGTGGCTGAGCTCACATGGCATCAGCAATAGTGGTGAGAAGGGACCAGATCACAGATTTACTTTGAATGTAGAACCATCAAAGATTGCCGACACACAGGTTATGGGCTGAGATAGAAAAATAATGCCATGTTTCGTGTATACATGTTTTTTAAAGTTACCTATATTATTACTTAAATAATATTCTTCTGCCTCACCCTTTCCAATCCCTAAATTCCACTACCCCCAGAGGCAACCACTTTAAATCTGTTTCTTCTATTTACTGCCATCTTTCTAAATATTGACAGAGCTTGATTATTTTTGTCTCAAAATAGTCTGTACTGACTTCCTACTGTGAAAGCGGAGGCTTAATCCTCTTACACCACACCCGCTGGCCCCTCACAGGCGCACACATACCTAAACACTTTTCCTTATCCTCCCCAATCACAATTCCTAGTGAATGCAACACGCAGGATTTACTGTATACTGTCTACACAATTACTCGTAGCAGAGCCGCACATTATGATATTTCCTTTCGTATTGTTCCCCATCTTTTTGCTTATGTAGATACTACCAATTTACTCTCCACCAGTAGACTCCTCTCAATATGACTGAACATAACAGGTCATAGATCTGTTCCATTTTTCTCCTGGAGCCCTCTACATGTTCTGACCTAGAACAAATGAATTCCAGGACAGATCTCTCTGTACTGCTACTATCCTAGAGCCTCCCTTCCCCTCCAACCTGGCACCTCCTTTTGATCCACTCCTGTGCTGGATCTTGTTTGCTGGACCTTTTTGGTTTCCCTCACTCACTGTGGCAGAGCACATCCTCAAGTATAGGCAATACAATATAGTAGAGTTAGGATTACTCGGGTTCAAATCCTAATTCCACCACTTCCTAGCAGTGTAACCTTGGGAACTAACTTCTCCATGGCTCAGTTTCTCCACTTATAAGACAAAAGAAATTATACCATCAACCTCATATTGTTCCTCTAAAGTGCTAAAGGGAAGCACACAGAGAGCACAAAAGAAATGTTAGCTGAAATGATTCCAAAGATGTGAGAGGTCACATTTTTAAGACATTTTGAGACTTGTCTGAAAATATCTTTAGCCTATATTCACACTTAACTGACACAGTTCAGAGAAGAATGTAATGGAGTTGAAATTTTTTTTCCTTGCTATGACACAGGTACTGATCCACTGTCTCCCAGCTTCCAGAACTGTTAATGAGAAGTACGATGGCATCTGAATTCTGGAGTTTCTGTAAATGATCTGTTTTTTCTTTTCTCCAGAAGCATTTAAAGTCTTTTATCTGGA